ATAGCAAATCCCTAGTTATAGACTAACACTGAACCTTCTATCATGACAAGAGTCACTGTGGGGAACAGTTGTCAACTAACTGCTTATTGTTGTTTTTTTATGTAGATAATATTTTTGTAAGTGTTTGAACTTTCTATTGTTTCAGAGAATGTGATACTTCCTTTGATATCATCACGTCAACAACACTCAAGCTGCGTAGAATAACTGTGTTTTGAGGTCCAAGACTTGCTAATGTAAAGTGTACCTCATTGGTATAATTTCCTCAAGACTAATCACTATAGATACAATATTAAATAATCCCAGACACACTATTTTAATGTTTCAAAAATTATCTCACTAAAATGTGTTGATAATATTCATTTGAGATCATAGTGATACTTATCTATTTTCATGATTATTTATAATACGTTGAGAAAGAAAAAATATATTTATGGAAACTATCAAAATTTTATTTTGGGGAGACTTAGATGAAACTACTTTAAAAATTCATGGTTACCAATATATTTTGAAGGTAAAGATAAAAAAAACAGTACTTACTGTTATTAAAAAACAGTACTTACACAGATTTTTGTATCTAACTGATAGACTATACATATTACCTAAAAATGCTGTAATTAAATAAACTTTTAAGTAAAAGGTGAAAATATGGTTAAATATGCTTTTTGTCATAAAGCAGTAATTTGTTGGCCCCTTGCTTTAGAGTACTTTCCTCTCTTACAACTACGAACATAGAAATCATAAAAACAATGTGATATGATTACCTGTGCATATCTTTAAGGTGTCAATAAAATGGCACTTCAAATAGCTGCCTATTTATCAATTTACTCAATGTGTCCTTGGAAACAGATTATTTAATTTTGAACTTTTCTTTCAATTATTACAGTTAGCTAAATTTACCTTAAAAAACCACTTTTTATTATTCCATAACTAATGTAGCTATTTTCTGAGATCCAGTCACCTATACCACTTTCTCCCCTCTCCTGAGCTCATTCTATTCATAGTAATGTGCATATCTCCATTTAGTGGTTTCCAGGTCAAAAAGCACCTGGACAAGAATGAAGAAAGCACACCAAAAGTTGTTCTAGTAACAACAATCATGGTGAGTCCAGAACATCAGGAAAGAAACTGCAAAACTGTAAATGAATACCAAACAATAAGTAGGTTCTAAAACATCGCTCTTCAGTCTTTTTGATAAATCAGAATGTCGTCAAAAAGCTAATTAGTGATATTTTTGGCCTAGGTAATGCAGCAGAAATGCCTGGAAATCTAACAAAGATTGCATCTTAGAAATCTCTATGGGGCAGTTGTTCTCATTAACACAGGACTACCTGTGTGTGGCTCTGTGAGTTAATGCACCAGACTGCAAAGCCATTTAAACTGCAAGGTTGGCCGTTCACAGCTACTCCTCAGAAACCCTAGACAGGGTTGCTATGGGTCAGAACCTAATTGATGGCACTTTACAACAATAACAACTATGAGTTGAAATAAATTTGGTGGCATCTAACAAAAGGGTAACTTATGTCAAAGAAAATGCACTTAGAAATCTGAAGCACTTATATTAAAATGGTCCTATAAGAGTATTAATATTTTAGGAGTAAATATATAAAATGTTTACATCAGATTTGTTTAAAAAAAAATTCAGAATGGATGATTTAGAATTCCTAAAATATTGCCTGATAAAATTTAAATGGTCCACTAATTTGTCCCATCCTTTGAAAACAAATTGCCTTATGGTATTTCTCTTTAGTAAAAGTCAGATCTCATAAAGCATGTATTTTTTTTCTAGACATGGACTTAGTCTTTATATAAAACCTTATTGCAATATTAGGATCACTATATGAATACATGAAACTTCAATGTTCTGTTTAGAACTAAACACACATCATTTGAAAACAACCATTTAAAAATAAGTTTTCTGCTAGGATTTTAATAACCTGGTATCAGAAAACTTAATATTGTGGATTTTGGAATATGGACTATTTTCTAAAATATCAAGCCAAATGAAAATAAAGAAAAATTAGAGAAAGTGACTGACCATCCACACCACATGAAAACTTGCAGTAAAATGAAGATAGGAGCTGACATCATGGTACAGGCACGACTCGTTGTGCATTTAAGTTGATCCTATTAATAACGGGCAAAGTAGCAAGTACAGGAAAAGGAAAGAAAACACAGAAAAGAAGACATACAAGATGAGATTTCATGCAATTTGCTGGCAGTTAGCAGTTAATGTGAGCCTTCATCCAGAGCAGATTCACAGTGATCATAGCAAATAAGCATTACCAAAATACTCCAATGCTAAAGAAACACAACATCATTAGCACATCAAGCTACTGAGCAAGGGTTGTACTTTCACACACAATTCCCTACGTAATTTACAAGAACTTGGATTGATGGAAAATTTTGTCTTCGTCAATTTTTTTTTTTTTTATGCCTTGATCAAATATCATACTTTCTTATGAGAAAGATATTTTAGGTAATATATTTTATATCATCTTTAAAATCCCTCAGAGCAAATTTGATCACAGTCTGTGTACTGTTGGGAATTGGAGACAGGTAGTTAATGACTGGTTTCTCTAAAGAGTAATGCTGTACTCTTTCTTGAATTCCTATATCACATTCTGTGGGAAGGCTCTGCCCTGAGACAAGCTGTAGCAGCTAGAACAACAGGACATCACATATTTGGAATTTACTCAAGTCCTATTGGGTGAAATTGAAAAAAGTGAAAGATCTTTCCCCATCAAAGAGATATAATCAATAGACTTCACAGAAATAACTGAAATATACTAATGAAAGCATCTGGCTTTCGAAATCGTATTTCCCACCACTGATTTTATTTCTTCTTTGTTCCACTGTTATCTAGAACACTTGACTATACAAGACTAAGTAAAAAAGTATTACTACCAGCGTTCCAATTCATATATACATGGATTTATTAAAAAACAAAACAGAACATGTTTAAGTGTGTCTTTGCAATTAGTGGACGGCTGCAGACAAATTCTTTCAGTAATACATTTGCCTTTGCCTTAGTCTTATTAGGGTACCTTAAAAAAAGAAAAGAAAAAATGGTCCATTCAAAACAGTGTTTTCATAGGGGATTTGTGGATCAGTTAAATTCAACGTAGAGTGGTCAACTCTCAGAAGGCTATGGCAACTGCTCTTTAGAATGCGCAAGAGGCACTTTTGATAGCTTTTTATTGAAGGACTCAGGATGCTGATGGGGCTTACTATGATGCTTTAGAAAAACTGAAAACTGCACTAGTTAGAAAATGACCAGAAAAGTTGCCCCAAGGATTTTTTTCCCCACAACAAGATAATGTACCTTATCATTCTTTAAGGGTAGCAAGGACTGTCTTAGGAGGTTTTCATTGGAAAATCTTACCCCACCCACCTTACACTCCTTGTCTGTCTTTTTTCCTTCAGGCTCTTGTTGTTCCCCAAACTCAAAGAACATTTGAGATGCACACTTTGAGTCTTTCAAAGATGCCAAAAATGCCATTTTGGCTATTTTTTGGGTATGTGTAAATTGAAGTGTAGAATTCTTAGGGGAAGTGCTAGAGAAATTAAACCATAGCTTTTAGAAGTGAACAGATCTAGATAGAGGATATGCTGAGAAACAAAAGCTTCTCATTTGCTATTTTTGTTGACGAAACGTTTCTGTGGAAATGTTGTCAGGAAGAAGTATTCCTTGGAAAAGGACATCATAGTTGGTAAAGTGGAGGGTCAGTGAAAAACAGGAAGATGCCCAACGAGATGGAGTGACACGATGACAGCAACAATGGGATCAACTTAACAACAACTATGAAGATGGTACAGAACCAAGCAGTGTTTCCATACATTGTACATACGGTCCCTATGAGTCAGAACTGAACAATATGATTTTGTAGCAATGTGTTTTACTTACACTTGTATAATATATACCTGTGGAAATGCCTTTCCCTTTCTAACAAAAATGTGGGTATATATTTAAGTAAGTGCATCATAAATAAATCTATTCTACATAACTTTTAAAGGTCTTGAAACTGTACATTAATCAATAGACATCCTTTTTAAATAATTAACAATTAATTAGGCAATAATGTTCTATGTTTGGATGCTCATGGGTATGTTCAATTCATTTAAAGCAAAGGCATAACTTAAAGAACCAAAGAATTGGGAAATACTATAATTAAAATTAGTAAAAACTGGGAAGACATTTTTTGTAGGCTTTTCCTCTCAGGATAAATTAAAGTTTCTTGATAATTAAAATAAACTTAAAAACATAAAGCATGTTACATACACAAAAGTCAGAATACTGTTTATTAGGGGAAGATGGCAGTGATCATCTTCAGATAATATACAGTAAATGTGATTTTTATATGTTATCAAATCAACTTTTGTAATTGATATGTTCCAATTTTAAGGAATAGAAAAAATAATACAATTAAGACAAATGATACAATGTGAAGAAATCAGGAACATAAAACAATGATAAAGTAACTGAAAAATAGCTTAACAAGGTTTTACAATACACTGAATAAGGATTAAACACAAACTAGTCAAATACAATATAATTGTATACCTTTTCTTTCATTTCAGTTGGAAATATAAACGAAAGTATTAGCGAATACAACCTATATATGTATATGAACCCACCCCCAAAAAATATAAACCCACCGCTATAGAGTCGATTCTGACTCATATCTACTTTACAGTGATTTACTAGAGCCTTCTAAATAATCAAATTTTGTGACCTTGGAATATTTATAAGTTAATTGGAACTGGGTTTGAAAGTACAATTTCTGTGGGAAAGACAGATAAAAGAAGCAACTGCTAAGTTTATACTAACCATGAAAAATATTGAAATGGAAAATCTATTTACCAGCAAGTACATCACATTGATGAGAAACACTATGATTACGACATTATGTATGAATTAAAATAGCAATTTATCTCCTTAGATTTTTATGGACACAATCATTGTTCTATAGTATTTTAAAACAGTAAACGTTTCATCTTACCAGGTCATTGTTATCAAAGCAGACATCCGGGCCTTTTCGGTATCTAGGTTGCTTAACCATATCACAAGGATTTGGACCATCAGCTAAAGAAATTTGTTAAGGACTATAAAGATATATTTCCCCCCACATGATTAAAAGTGTACAAGAAATGCAATACATTTATTTTGCAAATGAAGTAAGAAACACTTATGCCATGTTAGTCCAACACTACCAGTTCAAATATGTTGAAATTTAGACAACTAAATTGCTTCACATTCTTCCTTGTCAGACTAAAGGCCATGTGAAAAGGTCATCTCTTTTTAATCTCACTAAGTTGTTGTTGTTGTTGTTAAGTGTCACTGAGCCAGCTCCGACTCATAGCTACCCTATGTAAGGTTTCCAAGGAGTTTCTGGTGGGGTTGAACTGCCAACCTTGTGGTTAGCAGTTCAGTGCTTATGCTACAGCACCACACCAGGACTTACTACGTCGTTGTTGTTAAGTGTCATCTGGTCAATTCCAACTCATAGCGACTCTGTATAGGGTTTTCAAGGAATGGTTGGTGGGTTTGAACCGTTAACTTTGTAGTCCAGTGCTTATACTACAGCACCACAAAGGACCATTAAAAAAAATGGAGAGAGAGAGTGGGGATGAGGATTCAATTGTCATATGCTAATCAACTGTGTAAAGTAGCTCTGGTAGCGTAGTGGTTACAAATCAGGCTGTGAACCACAAGGTCAGCAGTTCAAAACTACCAGCT